CTAACATAAGTTTAAAAACTACGAAATTACTTCAATATTGACGTTTTTTGTCTTGTTTTAAGTGATTTATTTCTTTTTTGACTAAAAACTTAATTATGTTGCCAAATCTTGCCAAAACAATTATTAATAAATAAATGGAGGTTATTTTATTTGTATAGCTTGTTTCAACCAAAAAAAGTTTCGTCAAAATTAGATTATAAATTATCAAATTCTTCGAAATTGATGTTATTTTAACCTGTTTTGAGACATTTTAGATTGCATTGAAATTGGCGTTACTTAAGTTATATTACAGTATAACAAACATTATTATCAGAATGTTTTTTGTAGATTCAAAATTAGTTGTTGTAAATAAGACAAATAAACCCAAACTTTCCAAAAAAAAGAGAGAAGAACAAATTAAATTTTGTATACCAAGAACAAAAGTTTGAAATTTTTATACTTTTAAAGAATAATTTAAATTTAATTTGTGTAATTTTTTAGATAATTGAGGTTAACTAAATCGCTCAAAACTGCCTAAAATAATTACACTCTGGAAATTTTTAGACCTATTTTGACAAAAAAAAATGCAAAAACGGTGTAAAAATCAAAATTAAAATAATATCAATTTTATTACATGTTTAGTAATTTTTAAGCTTATTCTGATTAAATTTTGGTCAAAAAAAACAAAACAAGCTTTAATAACGTCATTCGAAGTAATTTGATAATTTTCAAACATATTTGACGAAATTTGGCAATGAATTTCTCAGTCAAAAATAAACTAAAATACCCGCCAACTCAATAAAATGTGGAAATTTTTAAGAATATTTTGACAAAATTAAGAAAAAAAAAACAAAAAACGTCATTTTCTTAATAATTTCGTAGTATTTAAACCTCAATATTTCGGTGAAATATTAGATAATAAGTGAGTTACGCGCATTAAAACTGAGCTCAAAAATAACGTCAATTTCGACGTAATTGATGATTTTAATCCTTATTTCTGAATGCTTCACGTCAAACTTTAACTTCAAAAAATCATATCTCGAAAACTACTCGGTATATTATTTTAAAAAGTTTTTTGTTTATTCTAATTAGAACAAAGAAGGTGCAATTGACCATTTTTAAGCAAAAAAAGAGTCTTAAAACAAATACTTTTATAAAAATGCAATTTTAAGTAAGATTAACATGCATTTCTCCTATATGGAGCAATGTTTGATTAGCAAACCTTAACTTCGAAAATCATATCTTGAAAACTAGTTGGCATATTCTTTTAAAAATTTGGATTCTAACTAATAAAAAGATGCCCTACACGATGGTGATGAAGAAAAAAAAAATACTGGTAGGGTTTTTCTTAGATTACTTTGATTTACTTCGAACTTTTTCAAACACTGTTCGAAGAAAAGTTGGCCAATATTCAATTTCAAATTGCATATCATTCTAAAGGGCAGGTCCATCCCTTTAGAATGGTCTTTATTTGAAGGAAATCGGCCTAACAGTTATTGAGTAATGATTTCTTTAAAGTTAGTGTATTTCAAATTCATTTAAATTAGAAAAAAATATTTAGTTCAAAGTGTGTGGACTATTTTAATTTTTTTTTAGAACTTTTGATTTGTCTCACTGAGACGAACAAAATGATATACAGGCTGTATTATGAAAAACGCCCCAAGCCATAACTCCATTATTTTTAAAGTTATGACAATACTTCTTAGAACAAAGTTGAACATTTTTTGTCATCTAACGTTTAGGATAGATGCTAAATTAATGCTATTTTCTGTTTCACCGGAAATCACATCAACTTTATTCTTTTAAATGGAACACCCTGTATATTTTACTACTTTTGGATTCTTTGTTTAATTGTCTTTTAACAAGTTTTAGTACCATGTGCCTAAAACCAACCCTTCGTGAGATATGAGTCAATTAAAAATTTATTAAAGTAGGCAGTGGAAAACAATATATTAAGTAATGTTGACAAATATTATTACTTTGCATTTTCTCTTACTGTTTTTATACTTTTTAATGTTAATCATGGATGATAATGTGTTAACAGACATATTTTGAATAAAATAAAAATTGTGGGAGAGCACTACGCTTTTACACTGGGTGATTTCTGATGAGAGACGTTCCAAATCGTCGAAAATTTAAGCGACTTAAAGAAAATTTGAGGATGTTTTGAGCTTTTAGAAAACCCAAATTAAAACATCTCCAATTTCAAAGAGATCAGAATTAGATAGGTATTGAAGAAAATGCAAGAACATGAATTCAAGAAATTGCAAGTAACGTTGGCTTATCGCACGCAACTGTTCTAATTTGGGTTTTCTAAAAACCCCAAACATCCTCAAATTTTCTTCAGGTCGACGAATTGGAACTTCTCTTATTGGAAACCGCCCAGTGTAAAGGCGTTGTGGTCTCCAACTATTTTTATTCCTTTCAAAATATTCTTGAATCATGTCTGTTAACACATTATCACCAGAACACCAAAAAGTATAAAAATAATAAGAGAAAATGCAAAGTAATAATATTTGTCAACATTACTTAATATTATTGTTTTTCACTGCCCACTTTAATAAATTTTTAATTGACTCATATCTCACGAACGGTTGGTTTTAGGCACATGGTACTAAAACTTGTTAAAAGACAATTAAACAAAGAATCCAAAAGTGGTAAAATATACAGGGTGTTCCATAAAAAAAATAAAGTTGATGTCATTTCCGGTGAAACAGAAAACAGCATTAATTTAGCATCTATCCCAAACGATAGATGACAAAAAAT